GGGGGGGGTTGCGTGTAAGGGGTCTTCAAGAGAGAGTTTTGCGCGTACAGGGGATATTTAAGCGTGGGTTTTGAGTGTAGGGGAGGGGTTTAGGAGAGGGTTTTAGCGATTTCAGCTTGGGAGCATTTATAAATTTCTTCGTTGAGAGTCAGGCAGTGTATCACGATGCTCTGTTATATTATCTGTTAGCACACCATCTTTTCTTTTCTGGAAACTGTTTTTCGACGGCTGATAACTCCTTAAGACGTCCACGTGTACAGAACACGTCCACATCACGATGCCACGTGTACAGACTGGGAGACATTGGTAGGCTTAATTGTGGATTTCACGTCGAAGCTTTTGGGCGGTAGGAGAGACCTTAAAAAAGGGTAGATTGGACATCTACAACGACTAGGGGGGTGCGCAGATGGGGGCAGAGTCTTCCCATAGTTTAAACGATGCGTAACGGTAAGTTTTTCGAGCGCAACAGGAGGCTCACCCCACTGCGGTTGATTAACTGTCATTTGTGGCCTGTCGCTGATTGATTGATTGATTGATTGGATTGATTTGTCGATTGACCGGTCGACCGAAGAATTAATCGACGGCAGTGAATTGAGTGCTGTAGTAGCGATTGATTTATTCATGGACTAGGTAATTAACTGCTGATGATTGACTGATGGATTGTGAGGTGCATAACAATTCAAGCAATTCATGTACCTATCAACGATAGGCATGGATTGATTGATCCATCGATTTGATTGATTGATTGATTGCTTATGTGGGTACATCAACCCTTATTAACGTGTAACTTTTCTTGATACCGGGACTTGGTTGGGGGGTTGGGGAAAGGGTGATGAACTCGGGCTTGCTTGGGGGGAGACCTGAAAGCTGCGAGGGAGTTTAGGGGGGAGGGGTGTTGAGGGCCAGAGGAGCTGGGTGGGGTGGGGAGGGGTGAAGGGGGGCAAGGGGACTGAGGGTTTTTGTGGGGCAGGAGAGGGGAAAGGTCCAGGGGACAGGGACTCTTTTGAAAAGGCAAAACGGTCCGTGGAGTGACTTGAAAACATGGCTAAAATGCCCAATTATGGCGAAATCGGGCCCCCCCCGAAGGAGATTATCTACGAGAATACTTACATCACAGGCCCTGAAGGTTACGGTCCGGTACTGCTTCAGAACCTTCCTTCCTGCTTGTCCTTCCCCCCTTTTTGCGAGTTCCCCATATCGGTTTTTTTTTTTTTTTTTTTTTTTTTTTT